TATTAAATGTATATATATATATATATTTCATTTTGTTTTTATTTTATTATTCTCACAAACAATTTATAAACAATCTATAATATATTATACTATACACTTATCTTCTCTCCAAATGATTTCCAACCGATTTTTATTTATAAACCAAAAGATATTATTCCGATGATTGGTTCTGGTAGTTTGCCAACTTTACACTGACATGAGTTATCATTTTCTTGGGGTGAAGAAAGTAACAGAGGTGGGGTTAATGGTAGGACAAATCAACTAAGAATACTTTTCTTCTTCCTTTTTTTTTATATATATATATAGATAATAATTGATAATTATTTATTACTTTCCGTAATTTTCTTCTTATATAAAACATTTTTAAATATATTAATATGCATATTATTTATAAACAACATACCCTATATAACACACGACTCGATAAAATCGAATGGAATGTGTGTGGATACACTTTTTAAAAATAAAACTAATCGATCATCAATCATATTCGATGAATAATTATAAAAAGAAAGTTGCCAATGGCAACCAACGTCTGTCTTATTAAATAATTTTTCCTTTTTCTCAACGAACAACGTGTCAAATTAAATCACTCAGCGATATTGCAACGTCATTAACTAAATTTTTAAATCGTAAGAAGACATTTATAATCAAAGTGTACAAATTAACAATTAATTTCGAGTATGTCGAGTTGGAATTCAACACTCGTGCAATTGCAAAAGGTTAAGTATTCTTTGTTTTCTTTTTTTTTCTCTCCTGGCTATTAATATAAACAATAAAGAAACTTTTTATTTAACTTATTTATTTCTTCGAACTTTATTTTTTTTTTCAATCATAAATTATTTTTATTATTTATTATTATTTCTTTTCTTCTCAATTAAAAATTTTCTATGAACAAAATTGTATGCAACGTTAAATGCATGCATGAGTTCCACACCTACAACTACACCTACACCTACACACATACACACACACAATTTATATCCACGAGAACTAATAATATATATATATTATAATACAATTATATTTCTTTTTATTACCTTTTTCTTTAAAAGATAAGTAAATCATAATTGTACGAATGAATATATTGATAAATATTACAGATTCATCATTGATGATCATTCTGTATGATTTTTCCGACTCCTTGAATTCGTAATAACGCAAGAATCACCATTACGTGATGGTACGTAATGCAAAAAGTGAAAGAGAAGACAAAATTCGGCCTTTGTGGATTTATCAGGTATCTAACAATAAGTATTGTTAATATCTATATATTTTAAACAATATATATACATATAAATGTATCACAATAATTAATAATTTAATTATTGTAATACAATAATTAATAATAATTGTATTACATTATTAATAATATTTAATTAATTTATAATTAATAATATTGGTGTGATCAAAAAAAAACATAATTATATATATTTTTTTATTTATATTAAATCAAATATTAATTATCATAATCATTAAAAGCATATCATATTTTTAAAATATAAAATAAATAATAAAATTTAAAAAGAAAAAAATTCTTTTCATATAATTCATTGTCATAATTATCCTTATATATATATTTAATATATAATGTATCTGTGTGTGTGTGTGTGTGTGTGTGCATTTAAAAGAAATGAAATATAACGATAATTATCAAAGAAAATGAGATTGCAATTAGCTATTCAAAGTAAAAGACTATAGTCAAGTTATGGCGTTTCTTTGTCGTCCATTAGTCAACGTTTTCATCTTAAATACTCGAGAAAAAATGTATATAATGAATGGTATAATTAATGAATTTTTATATCGTTATAGAAAGTGCTTAAAAGAAAATAAACGGATACATTGACGATCGAATAATAAAAGTGCATAATGGCAACAATTGTTGAGAAAAATTCAACGTCAACGTTAGAAAATAAAAATAAAATTTCAACGAT